ATGTCTACTATTTCAAAAGCATTTCACAAAAGAATTCAATTATTTAAAAAGAAATTTTAATAAAATAATTCGTCTCAAGAATTCAATTATTTCCAAAAGTATTATAATATTCTTCGCAAAAATCCAATTATGTTGAAAAATTTACAAAAATTTTCGTCAAAATTTCAATTATCTTTATAAAAAATAAAATTCCTCTTCGAAATTTAATTTTTTTCAAAAATTATAATAAAATTCTTGGCAGAATTTCAATTATTTTTAATACAATTTTCATCAAATTTCTCGAAAAATGAAATTATTCTTAAAAATTTTATCAAAATTTATCAAGAGAATTAAATTATTTAAAAATTTTGTTGATAAAATTCTGTATGAAAATTCAATTTTAAGAAACATTTAATTCATTAATAAAATATTTATTTTTGTAGTTAAATAATTGAATTCTTGTAGAATTTTCTAATAAATATTCATTTAAAAAATAATAAATTTCAGTTAAAATTTTAGATTTTAATTGAAAGCATTATAGCATGGATTTTTTGAAAGAATTGAATTTTCAAATAAGGTTTCAAATTAAAATCTTTGAAAAATTGAACTTTTTATACTTTTAATTAAAAATTCTGTAGAATTAATTTTTTTCAAATATATAATGAAATTTTTTTTGAATTATTTAAGGGGATTTGAACCTTGATGACGTCACAGTTTGTGCAAAGCATTAGTTTTAAATCTGTGACGTCATCATGGTTCAAATGCCCTTAAAGTTTTTAATTTAATTGAGGAATGTCCAGAATAATCGAAATTTTATAAAATCAAATTGTAAACAAAAGAATTTGAAAATTCTCAAAGAACTTTACTCAAAAATAATTTTAAAAAACTGAATTATTTAATAAAATATTTATTTTTGTAGTTAAATAATTAAATTCTCGTAGAATTTTCTAATAAATATTCATTTAAAAATAATAAATTTCAGTAAAAATTTTAGATTATAATTGAAAGCATTATAGGTAGCGTGGATTTTTTGAAATAATTGAATTTTCAAAAGGTTATAAATTAAAATTTTATTAAATTTGAACTTTGTATACTTTTAATTAAAGAATTCTGTAGAATTAATTTTTTTCAAAAAATTTAATGGAATTTTTTTTGAATTATTTAAAGTTTTTAATTTCTAATATATTTAATTGGGGAATGTCAGAAAAACTAAATTTCATAAAATTAAATTGTAAACAAAAGAATTTGAAAATTCTCAAAGAACTTTACTGAAAAATAATTTTAAAATAACTGACCTAAAGAAGAATTTTAGATGAAAATTCTAGAAATGAATAATTCGTAATGATGAAAATAATTTTTGAAGAAGTTACAGTAACAAAGTAGCAAGTTTAATTATTAATTATTGTAAAACATGAAGAAAGCGATTATAATAATATTCTTATAAGATATTGAATTTCAAACTTTGAAAATTTTAATTTCTATATGAAAAAAATAATAATGATGAAATATTTATTTAAAAATGAAGTTATTGATATTCTCGAATAATTTTCGTATGAAAAACCTGGAATAATGTAATTTTTTTTTATGATTGATTAGTATAATTGTATAATTTACATTAATGTTATTAAACATTCAAAGAAATTCATTTTGCGTTTGTTTCTTTGTAATTTAAATATTTATTTATTTACAAGATAAACGGACTAAAAAAAATTATAATGCAAAAAATAAAAAAAAAATAATTTTTTGAAAAGGGAAAATTTATTTATTTTATATTATATGGTTTATTTTTGGTAATTAATTATTAAAGTAATTGGTGATTAAAAAATTAATATAGAAAATTTTAAAAATTGACTATTGACATGAAAACCTTATTTTAACTGGGTTTTCGCGTTAAAGAGACAGATGCAAAATTATATAATTGAATAATAAATGATCTGTAAAAAAAGAGAGTAGGAAATATAAAAAAAATAATATATATGGTCAAGAAAATATACCGGAATCTTCATGGCCAAGTGTCACATTATGGATTCTTGTGAGCACATTGCATTCAATTGCACGTGTATATATCTATATATATACAGTATCGCACATATCATTTTTACTTTAAATGACACTACTGAATCAGTCATTATAAAAATTAAATTCTAGAATTACGTGAGTTATTTAATTTTCTTTTTTATATTTTATTCTCTTTTACAACAATCACCGAAATTTGCGAAAAATAATGAAAATAATATTTCGTTTACATTAAAAATTACAAAAAAAAGACATCTTTGCATATTTTTTATTACTGTTCATTAAAATTTATTCTTTACGTTTCCGGTGCAGATAAAATGAATACTAGCAATTTTTCTTTTTATTCCATAAGAAAAGTTCAAAGAGAGTTATTGAGAAAGGAAATTTATTAAAGTTTTTTATTTTATTTTTTATTTTATTCATTTTATTTATTAAATTTATTATTCAATATATGTATTATTATTAAAATGAATTATTAATTATTATAAATTAAAATTTATTAAATTTATTAAAATGAAAAATTATTGAGAGTGTAAGAATGAAAAAAAGAATGTTTTCTTTTTTTTCTTTTTTTTTTTGAAAATTGTGCGTGGGAAATGAGAAAAAATTCTGCGAAAATGTGAAAAAGATTAGCATTATACTTTGTGTGTATTAAACTCGTGTATTCATTGCCTCATTTGATTAATAAGTTTGTGTTTGTGTCATTGTTAAAACTTATACGTAGCAGGAAAACCTTGCATAGAATGCTTACCACTTTTGCAATTATTATTATTTAAAAATTGGCATACTTTTTAATGTGCTACTTTTTGTTTTTTAAATTTTATTTAATTCGTCTATTAAATTCATTTCAGTGGAGATTTTTTTCCACCTGTTATTAAATTTTAATTATAGTGCAATCATAATTAATTGCAATTAAACTGTAACTATAATGTAATATTTATCTGTATTTTTAATTAACTTTTTAATTTATTTTTTAATTTTTGTTTATTTAATTTTATTGTAACATTAATTTTTTCTGTATTTGTTTTTTTTTAGTTTAATCGTTTTTTATATTTAAATCATTTTTTAATATTTTTATTGTTTTTTTTACTATTTTTTTATTTTTACTATTTTTTATTAATTTTTATATTTTTTTACTTTAATTTTTTACAATACTTTTTAATTTGATATTTATCTGCATTTTGTAATTAAATCTTAAATCTATTTTTTAATTATTATAAACTATTTGTTATATTTTTTACTAATACTAATATAATATTTTCTGTATTTTTAATTAACTCCTTAATCACATTTTTCAATTATTTGACTGTTTTTTGTATTCTAATCTATTAATTTTTTTAGTTATGCAATTTCTAATTCTTAATTTTATTTTTTATATTTAATTTTATTTAAAATATTTTTAATATTTTAATATATTTATAATATTTTAATTATTGTTTTTACTATTATGTTTTAAATTTTTATAAAAAAATTTTTTTGTATAGTATTTTTTTTATTTGATTTTTAAAAATATTTTCCAGAAATGTTTATTCATATTTTTCCAGAAATGTTTGTATATAATTTTCCAGTAGTGTTTATACATTTTATTTCATTAGGTCTTTGATATTTTTACTTCATTTAAAAAAGTTAAATACTAAAATTTTTTTCTTCCATGAAAAAAAAATTCTGTTCAATGTAAAGCCAACTATAATTTTATGTTCTATAAAAATCTATCCTACAATTTTACATGCGCGAATATAAGGAAAAATATGAGATTCACTCTTTTGTGAATAATTCGTGACCCACTTTTTCACTACATAAAATTTATAACATTCGAATTATAAATCAAAATACAAAAAAGAAATAACAAATACATAATTGTTTATGTTATTTAAAAATTTATACTAATTAGAAATTATATTTTTAATTCACATTTTGGCAAACAGAGGAACAAAAGTTACTTATTTTATTTTTTATTATTTTATTAAAAATTATTATTTTCATTCAAAATGAAATGAATTTTTCCTACTGATTTTTAGTTTTATTTTCTTTCAATTTTAATTTTTAATTTAAAAAAATTTTTTATTCCTTCAAATCTCCCTCTAAAAATATTTTTAAAAAAAATTTTTTTTTTGTTATGAAAATAAAAGGAAAAAAAAATTTGAGGACCTTCAAAAATACTCAATTGATGATGTAAATAGATTGTTTAATGGCGAAATAATTGTCGTTCACGTAAGTGAAATTTTTCTTCTCCTTTACTAATCGGGTGGGTGTTTATCATGAACTGAATCCTGTTTGATGATTCAATATGTTGCCTTAGAAGCTGTATTAGGTGACAAGTAATATGTCTCACTTTGATTAAATTACTGCAAGGTTACGAATTCACTTTTTAATTGTCTTCAAGTTACATTTTTGTCCTTCCGTATTGTCTTTTATTCAATTTTTTTCCAATATTTTTATTTCATTTTATTTCAATTTCAAACATTTCAATGAAAAATATTTTGTTCTAGCCAAAAAAAGGGAAAATATTTATTAATAACAATAATAATAATTGCAATAGAAAAAAAGGAGAAAAAACTTTGTTAAAAAAATAGCAATAATAGAAAAGGAAAAAAATTGATAATAAAAGTAGTAGTAAAAAAGGAGAAAAATAATTTGATAATAAAAATAGTAAAGAAGGATAAAGAAAATTATTTGACAATAGTAATAATAATAATAATAATGAATAATAAACATAAATAATAATAATAAAAATAGCAATAGTAAAGGAAAAAAAAATAATTTGTTAATAATAAAAATAAAAAATATAGCAATAGTAAAAGAGGAAAAAAAAATTTGTTAATAATATACAAAAAATTAAATAAAATATGAATAACAATAAAAATATCATAAAATTTTTAAATAATTAAATAAATAAAACATTTTTATTTTGTAAATAATTAGAATTAGAATAATACAAAAAATATGATTTTTAATTAATGATTTATTTGGATGAAAAGATTTTTGACGATTCTTTTTAATTTCAGCGCCATATGAAGGAGGAATATGGAAAGTGCGGGTTCATTTACCAGAACATTACCCCTTCAAATCTCCTTCGATCGGTTTTATGAACAAGGTTTACCACCCTAACATTGATGAAGTATCGGGCACCGTCTGTCTCGACGTTATCAATCAAGCGTGGACAGCCTTGTATGGTAAATTAAAAAAAAAATCTCGCCTCTTTTTGTATATATTCAAATTTTCTGGAAAATTGATAAAAAAAAGAACATTGAAAAATAAAGGAAAAAAATTACCAAAAATATTTTCTAAATAGTTTGTTAAAATATTTTTTTAAGAATACAAGAAAGAAATAGAAGACAATAGTTTTTGTTTAAAAAAAAACATTTTTATTAATTATAATATATTTTTATTATTTTAATGTTAGAATTTTTCGCTGATTGAGAATTATAATTACGAAATTTAATTAATTCAAGTATTTCAAAATTTTTATTTATTTATTTAATATTAAATTATTTTTACATTGTTGAAAGAAAGACAATAATATATTTATTTATTTAATAAGTAAATGAATAAATTTATTTATTTGGTAAATAAATGAATAAATAAATTTAATTTATTTAAATATGATAATTTAATATGATAATTAATTTAGAAAAAATTTATTTCAGATCTCTCAAATATTTTCGAGTCTTTTCTACCACAGCTGTTGACATATCCTAATCCAATTGATCCCTTAAATGGCGATGCAGCTGCAATGTACCTTCACAAGCCTGAGGAGTACAAGAAAAAAGTCGCAGGTACTTTAAAAGAGTATTGAACCTTTATTTTTAATCAGGATTTTTTTTCATTCTTTTTATTTTCAAATATTTACTCTCTACAAATTTTTATTAAAATTCCTTTTTCCGTTAAATTTATTTTTAATTTAACTTAATTCTAATTTTATTCTAATTCTACTTGTTTTTATTCTATTTTATTTTTATTTTTTTTATTTAATATATAAACGGGACATTTTATTCTATTTTATTCTATTTTATTCTCAAATCTAAATAAAATTAAATATTTGTTTAAAATAAATATTTATTTTCTATAAATTGTTAAAAGCATTTGAACCTTGATGACGTCACACATGCTTTGCACAAACTGTAACGTCATCAAGGTTCAAATGCCCTTAATGAGGAATTTTGAAAAACTGTTTTTTTAAAGTATTCATTTTATATAAATTGTTTTAAAAAAATTTAATTCCTTTTTTTTAGAAATTTATTCTAATTTTATTTTATTTCATTTTATTCTATTTTATTTTTATTCTAAAATCTATTATTTAAGTACAATTTTTATTACTATTTATTTAAGGAAGTTTAAAGAGATTATATTAAACCTTTTTATGAAAGAGAATTTTTTTTAACTCTTTATTTTGAATTATTTATTCTCTATACCTATATATAAATTATTTTTTTATTACTTAGAATTTTATTTTTTAGAATTTTTAGACTTCTATTTTATTTCATTCAATTTTTTCCATAAACTTTTATTTTATTTATTTATTTATTCAAAATACTCGGGCTTATTATTATTATTATTAAATATTATACCTAATATTTATATTATTTATTCAACGTTTTTCAAGAGAGTACTGAACTTTTTTTTAATCAGGTTTTTCTTTCAACTTCTTACTTTGAAACATTTATTCTCTATAATTTGTATAAAAATTCTATAAATTTGTTATAATTTGAAAATGTTAATATTTTATGGAAAATAATTTAATTTTATACTTGTTTCAAAAAATGATGAATGTCTAAAATCAAATCTGAATGTCTCAAATCAAATTTTAATTTAATTTAGTAATTTACAAAAATTTAAATAATATGATTGAATTTACAGAAAATAGAAAAATAAAATATAAAAATTATTATAAAAAATGAAGACAATGACAATCTTAATTTTTTTTATAATTAAAACGAATGATAAATATCATTACTTAAAATTCAAATATATTTATTTACCTAAAACAAAAAAAATAAATAAAAATTATTTTGTCAAAAAACGTGGGACTAATTTCTCTTGTTTCTCATTTTCAGATTACGTAAGGAAATACGCGACAGAGGAGGCGCTTAGGGACCAGGAAAATGGTACGGGGAATGGAATGTCCTCGGACAGTGAGTCTTCAATGAGCGACTTCAGTGAGGACGAGACGCGAGATATGGAGTTGTAACCAAATATTTTACCATCCATACCCATACCCTTAATCACGATTCCTTGTAATCTCCGATCGCTCGTCTTATCAAAATAGATGCTTACACCTAAAAATTTCTTCGACCTTCGATCGATATCAACCTCAGACATTTTTTGAGAGGCTTACAAAAAAAAAATATTGATGGCGATCGGTTTGTAGTGTAACAGTGAACACATTATTACCCGGAGTTGATTTCTTTTCAATGTCGAAAGTCAAAAGCAAAAAAAAAAAACTTGAAAAATAATAATAATAATGATGAAAATCTTGCTAACAAGATGCCAATAGTTACGAATTTTTTCTCTCTGATCGTGTCGAGTTTCTTTTTTCTTTCCGCAAAATCTATCGCCAATCAAGAAGAATCGCGTTTTCTTTTCTTTTCATATTTTTTATTAATAGTTTTCGCATTTTTTTATTAATGAATTATTTTTATATTTTATTAAAGAAAGAAGACTAAACAAACCTTGGTTTTAATGGTCTTTCTTTTTGTAAATTTTGAACGAGTTTTGATTTCAATTTTTTTTTAGGAAACGAGATTAAAAAAAATTTTGTCCAACCATGTTTTCCTTTTCTTCCTCCCAAATTACGTATCCTTTTGTATATTTTCGTCACAGGCGACAACATCACGAGAGGGAGATGACAAGCTCAAGTGATGGGAAATCAGATGATAAATTAAAACGTAAACGTCATCGTAGCATTGACGGCGAACAAAATCAGCCACTATTGAAACTCGCTCGCTCCACGAGCTATGATGAAAGAAGAACGTTGACGGATACACTCAATATCTGCATTTCCTCGGCATCAAGTTTGCAAATTGGAGCACCTGGTGATACACATCGAGTAGAAACCTGGAACTGTCGCAACGACCAAGTCCTGGGAGCACAACAGTACACAAGACTCTAGTTTGGCTCAATAGTTTCCGAATTTTTTACTAGAGGAATCTAAAATGAAAAAAAGAGATAAAAAAACCGAAAAAAAACAGAATCTCAAATTATCGGAACTTCTAAAAAGTTTTTATTTAAAAAAAAAACCCCCAAAGGAAAAGAAAACAAATGGGTTGCGTATCTTTCATAAATATTCATTATTTATTTTCATATTTTCGAGTTTTACTATTTTCTAGTTTTTCTTCTTTTTTTTATCATTTGCGAATTTTTATCGTGTTTTAATCGACGAAAGAAAAGAATCGAAATAGAGAGAAAGAAAAGGAAAAATAATTTTCAATTAGAAACAGAAAAAAAAATTTACAATTATTTTTTCTTAAAAAAAATCGTCCTATTTTTAAATACTCAAGATTTATTGTTTTTTTAAAGAAAAGAGTAAAATGTTTTTTTTAAATTAAAAACTCGACAAATTGAAAATTTTCTTTTTTTGAGTTTAAAAAAACTTTTTTAAAAAAAAAGATTTTTTTTTAAAAATTATTTTTCTATTTTTTAAAATTAATTTTAAAATTAAAATTGTTTTTTCCTATTTTGATTAAATTGAATAAAAAGAACGGTCTATTAATATTAACCGTTGGACAATAATTTTAATCCAATTAAAAGCAAAAAAAAAGGGGGAAAAACATGAAAGCGAGCACAAGGTTTCTCCAGATCGGAGTAATTGAATTCGTGGTCTCAGATCTCACGCATTAAGATTTATAAATATATATTTAGCACTATATTAGTATATTATACAAAAAATATGCTTACGATTAGCTAGTACGTTTTTATTAATTATTAGAATAAACAAATCTAACATTCAGAATTTTGTAGAATCATTCTTTTTTTTCGAAACAAAAAAAAAAAAGTTTTAATTTTTTCGAAAAGATGATTCAGAGACTAAAGAAATATATTTTTCAAAAAATAAATTTATTTTTGCGTATTCTGTTTTGTTTTGGGAAAATTCTAAATTTTTGAAGGATACGTAACTGTAGGAGAATTATTGTTTCTTCGGCAAATTGACAATAGGGTCTGGAAATTTTGTAAAAAAAATTGTTTCTTCATGATAGAATTTTCGTTTCTTTGGATAAATTTTCCGGGCTTGTAGTAAATGTAAAAATATATTTTCTTTTTTCCTCCATTAAAAAAAAAAAAAAGGCGCGTATTGAAAAAGAAAAGAAAAATGTCTATTTCAAAACACATACATGTAAACTGCCATTGATTCACAAGAACATGCATCTTTCTATCCATTGTAATAGTTCGTTGTGGTTGTTCGGGTTAAGTAATTTAGTAGAAAGCCATTAGAGTTCGATAATTAATAAGCACAAGATTAATTTCACTAGAAAAAATTCAAAAATAGTATTTTATATTTGAAATACTATTTGAAAACTTGCTTTTAAATTTTTGTTTTTTAAAATTAATATTTCGAATAAGAAAAAGATGTTTAAAGAAATGATTTTAAAAATCTGTTTTTAAAAGATGAAGATGAAATTAAAGGAATTTTTTAAAGCAAAATTTCAAAACTATAAAAATCTTGGGAAAAAAATTGATTAACGAACTCTTTTTAAAGAGCTTAAAAAACGAAACGACGGGAGAAGTTTTCTTTTCCTTTTTTTTTAATTCTCGTCTCTCGTCGTTTTGTGCTTGTTGATATTCGATAGATTCTTGCTAGGCTTCGTCTTGGAAGATAAATGGTTGCCTCTGTGTCTTGTGATTAAAAAATTACGTCGAACTGTATTGCTTCAAGTTATCAGAGGGCGAACACATTATACGAAGTTATTAGACCTTCTATAATTTACTGATAAGTGAATTTTCAAGCAAAAAAAAGCACTTTTCGAAATGTTCAATTATTGTTCTCAAATTATCCATTCTCATTATTTTTTTACTAAACAAGGAATTTTTTTCGAAACAAAACAAACTGCGACAGTTTTGGCAAAAAATTCCAATTTTTTCAAAATTTCGGCAAAAAATTGTACCGTTTGGAAAAAAAGTAAAATCGAAAGATAAATAATGAAAATAAGTAAATAATAAAATAAAAATAAATTGAAATTACATTACAGAAAATAGAAGTACAGAAAGAGAAATTAAAAATATTTGATAACTGATAATTAAATTAAATTCAAGTTAATTATGATTAATTTTCGCCGAAGACTGTCGACAGTGATGTGATGTTAATAATTCGCAATTCTTATACGAATAATGCTGCGAGAATTCGAACATTGTGGGTTAAATATTATAAAAGTTGAAAACTTTTTTCGATTTGTATTAATTTTAAGAATTTTTGTTACAATGCAAAAAGAAATTTAATTGTGATATAAGACAATTTTTAGTGAGCGGAATTTCTACTCATTTTCTTCTCAAAAAATTTTGTCAAAGAGAGAGTGAGAGAAAGAAAGAAAGAGAGAGAGAGAGAGAAAGCGAGATGAAAAACAAAAATTTCAAATTTTTTTCAAAAAAAAGAGAGAGAGAGAAAAAAAAAGAAAATTTTGTCAAATTTATTTTACGAACTTAAAAATCTATTTCCGATTTTTTAAATTTAAAATTATGAATTTCAATTCATTTTAATTTCAATTTCATTTCATAATTTTTCCTTTTCATAAATATGAATTAAAAATTTAAAAAGAAACAATTTATTTTCAAACAAATTGAAAAATTATGAATTAGAAAAAAATAAATCAATTGAATTAAAATAAAGTGAATAAATTTAAACGAAATGAACCAATAACTTTTGCATCAATTTTCAAGAGTGTAAAATAAATTTGCCAAAAATTGTTTTCAAAACGAGAAAAAATTGTTTGCTTTGAAAATTCAAACTCAATGATTAAAAAATTAATAACAAAAGAAAGAAATCACGTACCAAAAAAAATAATCTCGACAAAGTTTTTAATATGGTGCTTTTTAAATTGGAAGAGAAAAAATAATCGCAAATGATTTATAAATATTCTACTCGAGAATGACTTTCCTATTTATTGTATAACTTAGTCGAGTTTTAGTGGGACACGTGATTTAGAAAGTGGTATTAAAAATAAAAAAAAAAAAAATGAAAATGTAGTGAAATATATTTTTGTATTTTGAGTGAATTTTTTTTTGTATAATACAATTTTATTATCGATCACTTGCGCAGCTGCGTTTTTTCGTTTTAGATTTTTTTCCGTTTATCAAAATTATTGTCCATCGCCCTCGCTATTGTCACACGAATAATGCATTGCCGTTCTAATTTAAGAAAAACAGATATAAATATTATTACAAAAAAACAAGGAAGAAAAAAACAAGAAGCAAAATGAAAGAGAGTAACTTTCCATATATTCTTGACAAGAATGTAGTTATCGTAACAAATCGTTTAATTGTAAGATAAATTTTTAAATTATTTTCTTTTCTCAATGATAAGCAATTAAATTTTTCGAATTTCCGTTTTCTTTTTTGTCACTGGGTCGAAAATTCGTTCAAATTTTGTTAGAAAAAATCAAAAAATTGATTGTCTTACGTAGTAAGAAAAATTGTTTATAAAAACAAATTTTGTTGTAAATTGTTTGAGAATGAAATTCTATTTTCATCCAATATTGTAAGGGAACAAAAGTTTTGCGAATTTATTATTATAAAATAGTTTTTGTTATATATGTTGAATGAAACAAATTTTTTTTTTGTTAACAATTTCGTGAAAAAAATTCTGCTTTGTCAAGAATTCACAAAAATTTTGTTAAATTAGAATTTGTTTGTTAAAAGGAAAAATTAATTTTAGAAAAAAGAAAATCGAAATTTCGACCCAGAATAATTGGAGCAGCAGCTGAATTAGAATTTTTTCTTTATTACGAAATAATCTTAAACGTGTAGTTGTCTTTTCTAATTCCACGTATCACTTTAAAGACTTCTAGAGTCTCTTTGTAGCTCCTGAAAGGATTAAAAAAAAAGAAGTAGCACTCGATGGCTACGAATTAACATATTTTCAAAAGAATACAAAAGAAGATAAAATTTTACTGCGAATTATAAACTACAGGGCGTTTTCGTCAATTATCTTCGCTGATTTTTCAATTTTATTCTAGAGAATCGAAAAAAAATTAGAAAACAATTATTAAAAAACAAAAAAAAAATTACAAATTAAGAAATTTTGTCCATTTAATTAATTATTAACAGTTAATAATAATTATATAATTAGAATTTGAAAAAGTCTTTCTTTTAGAAAATTGTAAAATAGTTGATAATTTTTAATTAGCAGAAAACATTGCAAAAACGCCTTGTAAAAGAATGTGACGTAGGGATATGAAATTAAATTCCCGAGAAAAAAAAGGAGAAAAAAAATGAAAATTTTTTCCGTTGAAAAAATAAACCGATAAAACGACAACAGCTGCAAAAGAATGTTTCACATACATTGTTACAAAGCGTCTCAACAACAATGAAATAACTACAAAATATTTATTATAAATTAAGTTTAACAAATATATAAATTATAAATATATTATATTAAACTAAATATAAGTGAACAAGATGCAATTTTTTGGTACAATAAGATAAAAAAGAATCAAAAATGGTGTTTTTCATTCAGAATCCACACATTTTTTTTTTTGACATTTTCTATGATTTAAAAAATTATTAAGGAAATTTGAATTTTCCTCCTTTTTGTTATATTTGAATTTCGCGCGCTTTCTACAATTTTGAATTCAAATCTCAGGATCGGAAGAAACGGTCAAAATGATTAATTGTTCACAAAATTTTTAATCAAACGATTTAGTTTATATTGAACTAACAGGTAAAGTAAAAACGGTATACTTTGTCCTTAAAAAAAACGGGTAAAAAATTATGTAAATTAATAAGTGACGAAAAAAAATTGATAAGCCCCCTGTGGATACGCTACTGCAAGAGCCGGAACCGATGAAAATAGGTCGCCATATTGGTTCCAGAAGCGGAAACGGAACCGGTACTTGTCAATGTTTTTGGTACTTGTGTGCTTGTCAACGATAAAACTTTCGCGGTTATAACTATAGTGGTCAAAACATTTGCCACTCGTGAGATCTTCTGGAACAGTGATTATCCGGTTCGCTCACAACACAACCCTCTCCCTGTTGGCCACATGTGTTATCCAGTCGGAGCAATTCCAGCTCCAGTTTTGTCTGAACCATCGTGGAGGTAACATCGTTTGCTCTTCGCGTGTTATACCATTTAATCCGCCCGTGACTAAAACATTTCACCAAATTATCCCATAACTGTTGAATTCATTTGAAAATTGAGAGAGAAAATAAAATTTTCATCATATTGTGAGTAATTGATGGTATTTCTCAATAATCGACAAGTGCCCGGTTAATCAACATACAAAAGTAAAACGTTCGCGCCTGATCATAGTCATATACACAAGTATTTTGACTTTTATGAATCCTATTAAAACTCTACGGCAGTGACTGGTGATCGAGCAGTAAAAGTGAAGTGAACCTCGTGGCACACGTTCTCTTTCCGTCTTTTTTTTAGTGTAATATACAGAAGTTCGTTCTTGTTTTTCTTTCTTGAGATGTAATAATTTCTTGAGGATATTTTTGAACTGGAGAAACAGATGAAATTTTTGTTTTTGGAGGAAATTGCGGAGGAAACGGAAATATTCTACGCGCGGATTATAGGTTTCGACTTTTCAAGCGACTTGAAGTTCGCTAGAGGAGTCAACTCTACGCGGTAAGGAAATGAGTAAACACGTTTTTTTAATTCCTTCTCATATATATTATTATTGTGCGAGACACGAGTGTACAAAGTGCGAGTTTTTCTCAATCATTTCTCTTTTATCGCATTTTAACAGCTGTGTCAACTATATTTTTTCTTTATTTCCTTCCGTTTCAGTTAGGCAAATATTTTCTTTTAATTGCATTTTATCTCCCATTTATCGTTATTTACCTCTTTATCATCGATTTTTAGATAATTTGGTTTGAACTATTTTAATAATCTAATTCTTGTTGATACATTCAGTATTCGCTTTTTTAGTTGGAATTTTTATTCTCAAGTTTTTGTATAAAAATATTTGATGTATAAAACTGCAAACGGAAATTTGAGAATTGTGTATTTATAACCTAAAAAAATAGTGATCTTTACTTTTTTATTTTATCTTCATTATTGTTGACGTTTGAAATGAAATTGTTAAAAAGGGAAATTTTAAAGTTAATATGGTATGTATTCAATTATTTCTCTAACAATAATTGTTTATTCAAACTTTTAATATCGTCCTTGATAAATTTTACTCGAGTTCGAAAATAATTTCAATTTAATCAAAATTGGCATTTAGGAAATTTTGATTTTAAAACACGTACGTTTTAATAACATTTCCAATTGTTTTTGTAATAAAAAAGAAGTGCGCACATTCCAATTGTTTGCAGACGATTATAAATTTCTTAGAAAAGAATTTTTATTTTTAATTGTAAAAATATGAAATTTAAAAAAAAACCTTGGAAAGTTTATGTTTACAGTTATAATTCCAATAAGTTGCCAGAAATCTCATCAACTTTTATTTATAGCTCAGGGTGACGAGTCTTTTTTTCCTATATATATTACATGGGGATATGCACCAAAAAGAATTTATTTAATGGTGTTAGTGTTACTTCACAAATAAATGAATATTACAGTCCATCTTTTCATTTAAATTCAGAAAGTTTTATCCAATAATAAATTGACAATTTTCCAATACCACAACAACTTGGAAGTAGGTGACAACAAATAATTGAATTTCGATCAATTTTCAGAAAAAAAAGTGTTCTCTTTAACTCTCAATAATTAGTAAAGTTTAAAGTTCAAAAATTCGATTCTATATTCTAGAATTTTTTAAAATGTTTGGGGGGGAAAAAATAAAGGAAAAATTAATTTCAATGTCTGACGACATTGAAATTAATTTTTTCTTTATTTTTTTCTGTTTTAATAACAAATTTGTTTGAAGTTCATTTTCGAAACTGTCTAAAGAATTTTATTTTCGAAATTTATTTTCCATTCACTAAAAATTAAAATTTACAAAATTGATTTATTTTGAACAACAATGTTATTTAAACGAATTTTGTCTCTTGCGGGGAAAATTCGATACTTGGCGTAATGCGATATCTTTCTATATAAAATTACGAAAATGCGAATGATTATGCAATTTTTGTAGCGGATTAACTGCAATAATAACGGTCATTTCAACGTTTACAAAAAAATTTGAGGAATTTCCAATTCATAACCTATTTTCCATTCGACATAATTGGAGTTTTTTTTAGTTTTTTTCCCTTTTATTTATTTATTTTTAAAAATTTTTATTAAGAAAATTTTATTGTATATACAATAAATTTTAATTTATTTATTTCTTATAAAAATGTTTTTTTACACAGTTAGAAAGCCGAGTTACGTTAATTTAGTTAAATGTGTAATAAAAAAGGATTGGTTTCACCTTCATGCAGTTGGGAAATTTAACTCTTCTTCTTCTGCTTCTTCTTCCTCTTCTTAAATGCGTTCCTGCTGTAACATTATTATAAACACAAAGGCACACACGTGTTGTCTCTTTAAAAGTCATTCTCACATGTAATGTAGACTTTATTTCAAACAACAACAAAGAAAACTAGTATCTGCCTCTTTATTCATTATATTTTTGTAACTAAATATTTCTTTCTTTCTTTTATACTGTAATTATAAAAGTGTACATATGTAAATCCAAATTATAAAAATTAGTCAGTAATTTAAAATTTTTGATTATTATTATTATTATTATAACTATTTTTTCATTATATTTATTAATTACTAGCAAATGTTACGCGCGCGGAACTTGATCCATTTATTCTTATTATGAAAATGACAAAATTTTTTATTTACAAATCCAAATTTTCGAATAATTTCATAATCAGAATTTAAAAAATTCATTTATTAAGAACATAAGTAATTATTATTGTTTATATCTTCAAAAATTTTAATTTCTTCTCAAGAATTCAATTATTTTCATAAATAATAACATTTTTCGGAAGAATTCAATATTATTTTTATAAATAGTAAATTTTTTTACAAAAATTCATTTATTTTCAACAAAATTTTAATAAAATTTCACGAAAGAATTCAATTATTTTCTAAAACTTTAATAAATTCCTCAAATCAATTAAATTATTTTAATAGTAAAATCTTTGCAAAGATTCATTATTTTCAATAAAATTTCACGAAAGAATTCAATTTTTTTCTTAATTCGCTTTTATAATTTCCAAAAGAATTCAATTATTTTTATTATATAAAAAATCCTTCGAAAAAATTCAATTATTTAATTATTTTTGTAAATTTTAGTAATTTTCTTTTCAAAAGTTTAATTATTTTAAATACAATTTTAATAAAATTTCAATAAAATTTCATGAAACAATTAAATTTTTTTTTAATTTTCAATATTTTTCTAAAAAATTAAAATATTTTCTAAAATTCAATTTTTTTTATTAATTTTTAATAAAATGTTTCGAAAGAATCCAATTATTTTCTAAAATTTAAATAAATCCTTTGAAACAATTCAATTATTTTTATAAGGAATAAAATTCATCGCAAGAATTAAATTATTTTTTATAAATATTAAAATTCTTCTCGCAGGAATTTAATTATTTTTCAATACGATTTTAATAAAATTCAGTAATTAAATGTTTAATTTCAATTATTAAGAAACACGATAATATTTTAAAAGTTTAATAAAAATCCTTCGTAAAATTTAATATTTCTTTAAAAACTTCCAATTAAAATTATCAATGAAACTCCATTATTTTTAAAAAAATTCAAAGAAATTCATCAAAAAAATTGAATTAGAATTTTCAAAAATTTTACTAAAATTCTTCGTTGAAATTTAATTATTCTCAAATTTTATGATAAGATTCTTTGAAGGAATTAATTTCTTTTTGCCTTTTTCTAATTTTTGTTATATTTATCAAATTTTTTTTAAATTTTTGTTATATTTATTAATTTTTTTTTAATTTTTCGTACATTAATTATTATTTATTGTTTTATTCATTTTCTGTTGAAATTAACAATATTTATTTTCAATATATTTCAGCACCAATGATGATTTTTGCGTACGGCTAAACGGACGACGGATTTAAAGAAGGATTATCAATCTTTTTACTGAAGAAAAAGGACAAAAAAAAAAAATGGGGGAAATTTTAGGATCGGCCAGTTTTCTGCACCTCGGCGATATTGTCAGCTTGTACGCCGAGGGAAGTGTTTCCGGCTTTCTTTCCACTCTCGGGTATGCTGTCATTAATCTTCATTTCTATAATAATTGAAAAATCCAGAAAAGAAAAAAATCGTTCACTACAATCTTTAATAGATTTTCAAGAAGAGAGACATTTTTTTCAATTCGAAGAAATTCGAAATTCGAAAATTCGAAAATTCGAAAATTCGAAATTCGAAATTCGAATTGAAAAAAAAAATTAATGTTGTAATGGAAAAAATTGAAATTGAAAAAAAATTCACTGAATTCAAAATGAAATAATTGTTTCTTTAAAATTGAAAGAAAATGAAACAATTGTTTCGAGTAACGAAACATTTAGATAGAAAGAAATAAAAGTATAAATAAAATGAATGGAAAAAATTATCAAGAGAGGGATAAAAATTGACGATTAAATAATAAATTACGGTACGAATCACAAAGGGAGAAATTTTAATTCGAAGAAAATGAAAAAAATCATTTTTTGTGATGAAGATTGAATTTAATAAGTTAAATGAAATTAATTACTTAAATTTAATTATTAATTAAAGATTTAAATTTAATTTTTAACTAAATATTTAAATTTAATTATTGATTAAAGATTTAAATTTATTTTTTAACTAAATATTTAAATTTAATTTTTAACTAAATATTTAAATTTATTTAAGTGAAATAAAATTTTCTCCTCGTGTGGAATTAACAATTATTTTATCAAATTTATCGAATTCCGAAGTGAATTTCAAGTAAAGTGTACATATTTTTTCTTTTCATTTCGTGCACCACGGTAAAATTACCACGAAGATTAAAATAACACTTAAATGGAATATTGCTTGAGGGTACTTTTTCTAGAGCCCTATGTTTGGTAACTGGTTATATTGACACGAATCGAAAATATAAAGAAAATAAAAAAAGAGGAGAGAAAAAAAAGGTGTGAATGAAGTTAGGATTTTTATGTTATTCATTCTAATTAATAGAATTTAAATTATCGACACAGCGAGAGTTTCTTTTTTCGCATATTGTTACTAATAATTTTTGCAACATCTCCTTTGTCTCTTATATATTCTTCTTGCGGATAAACAGATCAATTTTATCGATTGATCTTTGTATTTGAATCTTATTGAACAGTTTGACATTAATTTATTTATTATATACTTATAGTAGCGTCATGCGTACATTTTATTAATACTGATTTTAGTGTTTGAGAAAATTATTTTCTTTTTGTTAATAAAAATAAAAAATATTTATTTATTTTATTTTCAACAATAATTTATTGCTAATTTAATAATATTTGAGTAAACATACAAAAAATTTTTTTTTATTTTTTGTTTTTTATTTTTAAATAGGTATTTCAGCATGTGAAAGTAAAAAGAAATTGAAATTAAAACTCAATTTAGAGTAATTCAAAAAAGTAATCGTAAAAACGTATCGGAAAATAATTCATAAGTAGATATTTGAGAAAAATATTTATTTTAATTCTAAGCTAAATTTATAATTTTGTAAATCTCGATGTGTTATAATTTCTATTTTTGAATCGATATTTAGTATTTCAGAAAATTAACATTTATTCAGCATTTAGTTTAAAAGAAGTTGGAAATAGAATTCAGGCCGATAATCTTCGTCTTATCTTATTTTGTGAAAACACTTGTGTAATTCGTATAAAGTTTATTTAAAAAAAAAATTATAATTCGCACACTTTGATAATTATAATTTAATTCGAATTTTTTTCTATGGATAAGAGAAATCTGCTAAAAGTTATTTCAAGGTTTAGTTGCAAATATTTATTTTTATGTCAATTTTTATCATTCTCGAACTGCTTTTTACAAGGAGAGACCCACATTTGTAAAAATTACTAAAAATGGTTGCAATGACCGGAAATAAGGCCAGGGGACTTTTAGCATAATATACTACAGAATTAGATAAATTTACAAAAGAAATAGATAAATTTGCTACATTGAAATAGCAAGTTTTAATATTTTGTGTAAGAGTTGTAAATGTAGCGAAAATTGATTATAGTTTTCTCTAATTTAATTAGAAAAAATCTGACAAATGAAAACATTTTCCACTAAAACCTACTATCCACTGTAGTAATTTTTGGTGAGCAAGTGTGGCTAGCGAGTGCAGTCATATGGCGCCTGCATTTCTATTGGTTGCTAACTTCGTCAATCTCCGTAAATGAGCCGATGCCATCCGATCATTGACAGTGACTATGTTTCGCGTATGTAAAATAAATTTGGATATTATCTACAATAATTAAATATAAAGTGAAACGTAGGTCGTTTGTTATCTCAGAAATTGACCATTATAAATTAATAAATTTTGCATTTATTCCTGTCCCAAGAACTATGTCTTATAATAAGTTGTTAAAAGTAAACTGCTTTCTCGTAAGTGCCGTAAATTTTCATCATTCAATATATAAGGAAACAAAGATGTATGCTTTCAGTGAAATTCATTGTCGTGCGTGCAGTCGTGTATTAGTGTATTAATTAACCGCGTCTATGCATATAAGTGAAATAAACATGTGTGTGTCTTCAAATATGTATCCAACAAATATATAAGTGTGTGAGTGTGTGTGTCTGTGTATGTAAAAATCCGTATTTTTTCTTTCACTCTTTCTTTCTGCATTTACAAACGACTATAGTAATTTTACGTACACAATACTTCTGAGTTTACTACAGTTGTTTGGAACTATTGGACGAAATAGTAAGAAACTTTGCTAATTTGGTGAACATTTGTCGGATTAGTGACTTCGTGTAGAAAATAGTAAAAAATACAAAAAGTCCCCTTATTTCCGGTGGTTGCAATGTGAAAATAGTAAATTCTAGTGTGATTTTATACAAAAATTAGTAATCTCGGTCTCTCCCTATAGGGAAATTAAATTTTAAAGTAGTTTTTGTAAATGGAAAAGATATTTTTTTTCTAATTTGACAGAAAAGAGGAAAAGAACATTTTTTCTGATTTGACAAAAAAAAAAGAAAATATTTTCTCTGAATTAATTTTTTTCTGATTTTGACAGAAAAATATTTTTTTTTATTTAACAGAAAGGAGAAAATAAATTTTTTTCTGATTTCACAGAAGAGAGGAAAATATTTTTTTTATTTCACAGAAAAGAGAAAAATAAATTTTTTTCTGATTTGAAGGAAAATTTTTTTTTTCTGATTTAAAAAAAATGCACAAGTTTGCATTTTTTGAATTTATTGTTATATAGTTGGAAAATGAGAGGCAACCCTCTTTAGAATATCGATAATGCTTGACACAGGTTAATTAAGTCACTAAAAGACCTTCAATTGGAGGTGCTTCAACGATTTCATCTCAATAGCTATACAGCTAATGAGATAGCCTCACATGATTAACTTCAATTATCTATAAAAATTATGAAATTAACATACATACATAAATACTTTAATCTTCTTTGTGAAAAAAGAAAAACTCTTCATTGTCAACTTATTTTTAGAAAGATTCTTTCTCTCTCTCTCTCTCTCTCTCTCTCTCTCTCTCTCTCTCTCTCTCTCTCTCTCTCTCTCTCTCTCTCTCTCTCTCTTTTCTTCTTTGTTTTATTTATGTATTTTTTTCTTAATTAAAAATCTCAATATTAGCTTTATTTATGTAAATATTTTCTCTTAATTAAAAATTTCAATATTAGTTTTATTTATGTATTTTTTCATTTTCTGTTCTAATGAAGTTGCTTTTTTCTTTTATTCGTTATTTCTCTTTTGTCTGTTTTTTAATTCTGTTTGCTTTTCGTTTTTTTTTGCGAAAATTTAAAAATTTAAACAATTTTTTCCAAATTTTGTTATATTGTCAATATAAGTTTATTCATAATTTAGCAATTTTATTAATTATTCGACAATGCTATGAGTTTTTAATCGTTTTCATAAATTTTTTAACAAATTTTTCTTCTTAATAAATAATTAAAAAAATAAAATATATTTTCCTCTTTTCCATGTATATTATATATAATTACAGGCCTCGGATATTATGATTTTTTCGACTATTTTCAAATAATGCGACTTTTATCGACTTATATTAAAAAATTTCGACTTTTCTTCCAAATTTTGCGACAGAATACCATATTTTTAGTATAAAATGCTGCAATTTTTTCCATTTTAACGCGCAGTATAAAAAATAGCTGTAGATAAATCTTTCAAAAATTATTTTTGAAAATTTTTGCTAATTAAATTTTTGAAATATACAATTAAAAAGATTTTGAATAATTGAAATTTAGTAAAATTAATTGAAAATAAATCCTTTTTTTCAAGTATTTTATTATAATTTTTGAAAATTATAAAATTATAAAATTATAAAATTATAAATTTCATGAATTTTAATAAAACTCTTTGCAAAATCCAATTTTTTCTGGAATTTTATTAAATTCTAATTCTTCTATAATTTTAATAAAACTCTTTGCAAAATTCAATTAATTTCAGAAATTTTATTAAAACTTTTACCAAATTTAATAATTTCAAGGAATTTAATTAAAATTCATTGCAAATTTTAATTATTTTTCAAAAATTTTACTAAATTTTAATTATTTTTTAAAAAAATTTTATCAAATTTCAATTTTAAAAAAAAAATTTTAATTGATATGTACATAATTGTAAAACTATTACGTCTTTCAAAAATTATTTAGAAATATTTTTAAAAAGTTAATTTTACGAATTTATTTATTAAAATTTTTGAATATATTCTACCTTAATATCTTTAAAAAGAAAAATGAACGGTTTCAATTATTATAAAAAATTGAATTTTTGTATGTAAATAATTGAATTCTTGAAGAACTTTCGGAAAAATATTAAAAAGTAATATAGATAATTGATTTAGAAATGAAGTGTAGTTAAAAATTGTAGAGAATAATTGAATTTTTGTAAGGGTTATAGTTTTAATTTTTAGAAATTATTATAAATTTCAGAATTTGAAATTTTTAAAATTTTATTTTCTGGTGAAAAAAGAAATAAGAAGTATTTAAATATTTTATTTAGCAAAATTATACAAGTTTTGATTAATTGAATTTAGAAATCAGTGAAGAATCAGGGAAATAGAAA